GTGTATATGTAATTAATAGCAATAGCAATTAGTGGTGGGAGGGTGTACAATTAGAAGAAACAAAGCATAAAAGACTCAGATTAGATTGAAGTGGACCTCATTTCTCATTTATACTCTTTTTCTGATTTCAGATAAACTCATTTGTTTGTTGTAACTCTTAAAAGTTCTTGTCAAACTAGAAGAAACTTTTTAGCTCTTTGGTTCTTTTTTTCCTGAATTATAGTCACACATCTCTGTTTACAGTTCCTCATGGCTGATTTTGCAAATTGAAACCTTCACAAAGACACAAGACTCTGTATAAAATACAGAGCCCCATTGTGACTGACCCGTTAATGATGACAGTAGCTCATCGAATGGCTCGTTTAGGTGGTTGGTTTGCTGAATCGTCGAGGAAATAATTAGAGGGATCATCTTAAATGGAATGTTTCTATCTGATTGAGGAAGGATCATGTACTTGTTTGCTAAATGCTGATTATGACCAAAGATCAAACTGGTTTTGTTTGCTACAGTTTAAGAATAAGAAACAGAACAAACCAAACACTCTTCTTAATTGTATCTGCTTGCACGGTTTTAAAAAGAAATAGACCAAAGAAAAGTCATATTTTATACAAGTTTTAAAATGGAACAAAGAATCAAAACCATAGATTTCATTTGCAAAGAAGTAACGAGAAGAGAAGAATATGCAATGAAAAAGTCAAACGTCAACGAAAGCAACATGCTACATACACGTCTTTTACCTGAAACCTATCATACAATATGTCTAATAACTTGTAAGACTTGTCTTTCTTTTGTCTGCATTTGTCTCTCTATTAAAACCCCTCTTCACAACTTAACAATTCTTGATATTTTTTCACTTAGAGATCTCTAAAATGTCTGTGAAGAAACAGGCTTTAGAGAGCAAGAACAATGGAAGCAACAAGTCGAGTGGTTATCGATGTTTGTCATTCTCGTTCATTGAGTCATCATCAATGGATGGGAAGAAGAAACCATTGTCGTTGAATCGTATGGATTCCAAAAAGCTCAAGGCAGGGATCGTGAAGTGGGCAAAGCGTGTTGCAGGTTATGCTCGTCAACTTAGCTCGAGAAAGCGAGATTAAAGCCATAGAAGAAGAAAGTTTATTGGAAGATTGAAATGCATTCTTTTTTTTTTACATTGATATTCGTTTAATCATTTTAAGGTTTTTAGCACATTGATCATTAGTTTCTTGTTTGCAAATTTATTTTTTTCAATCGATTCAAATAATTCTTCATGTCGGATTCATGAAAGGCGGTGTGATTATGTTCCTTCTTCTCTATCATTCATTCATCATTCCCAATGGAATTATCACCAACAAAATCCGAAGAAAGATAGCACATTGTTGATATTTTCTTCGATCTTTACATTTTTTGTATTTCGTATTGTACTATTTCCATTGAGAACTAAGATATGTAAAATGTTTTTGAGTATTTCTCATATTTATAGATAATGATTATTCAAAATGAAAAGAAGGAAAAAAAAATATTTAACAATATTCTCTTATCATCTTAAGACCACTTGCCATGGTGGGATATATTAAACTTCCTTAGAAAAGGTCTACATGCTCGTCTGTGAATGGCTATTATAGAATTGATGAAAAGAATTACAGGACTTTAACTCTAATGGAAAAAATCAAAACTCCCTCAAACTAATAATTTGCTTGGAGACCAAATGAAGCAGCCATGGTCACAAGAGATCTCAAGAAAGCTCAAGCAAGCAGACACATTCGATGTGAGGAGTGTGAGGGAACATATCTACTGGCTGAACACTCATCAGTTTGTAGCAACCCTTTATATTCTTCTCCTCCTACAATTTCAAATCACCAAGTTCTTTTTATTATATTTACAAAATGACATAAAGAGCAAAGATTTAAGTGGAAGATTGGTAACTAACCACGCCATGACAAAGGTAATCGAGATCCCTAGCGCACGTTGCAGGATTACATGAAACATAAATGATCCGTGGAGATTTAAGCTTTAGAAGAAACTTGATTAACTTCATGTGCATACCAGGTCGATTGGGATCTGTAAGAACACTTCTCTAATGAGTAAAAGGGAAAAACATTTGGTAGACTTGCAATTATTAGAAGGAAGATGAAAATGCAACTATGTGAAGAAGATTATAACCAGAAATAACGATATCAGGCTTAGGGAAATTGCTCCCAAATTCCTCTCCTATTTTGTTTAAATCCCCTTGGATGAATGTTGCATTCTCTATGCCGTTTATTTGGGCATTCTTGTGTGCATCTGTTATTGCTTGTGGAACTACTTCATAACCATACACGTGCTTCGCCCTACGAGGAGGAGAACGATAATAAACAATCAGCAAAAATAAAGAATTGCCAAAATTTATTAATCTATGACATTCTACCTTCTCGCAAGTGTAAGACCTATGGTACCAGTTCCACAGAAAAGATCGAGCACGACTTCTGAGCCATCTCCTTTAAGTCCAGCACATTCCTCAATAAGCTTATATAACACTTCAGCCTGCACAGTGCACACCACTTTAGTTTCCCACAAGGATTTGTCTATTGTTTGAGATGTAAGAGGAATCAAGTTGGTTAACTGTTCCATATACCTGATGAGTGTTAGTCTGAAAGAAAGAGTTGGCTGAGATTTGAAATGTAAGGCCTCTTAAGACCTCTGCGATTGTAACTTTCCCGTAAAGAGTATATTCCTTTTCCCCAACCGATGTATTTCCAACAGAGGAATTTATATTATTCATGATGCTTACCTGCATTTTCACGAGCCCAAAAAAAGGTACGGAAGTCTTAAAATACAAAGCAAGAAAAAATGTGGGCAATCTAATAACCGATTAAGGGTTGTAGGAATGAAAAAAATAAGATTCTAATTACGAACCACTTGAGGAATTGATGAAATTCTATCGACAAGGGGCTTCAACAGCTCTGGCTTATAAGACGATGTCACAAAATTGACCATGAGTTCTAGTGAACCAGTCTCCACATTCCTATGGTCAAGTTTGATAACAAGAAAGAATTCGCCAAATCAGGGAAATGAAAGAACTATCATCAAAGATCATGCGCAAATACAACTATGTTTTCATTTCCACCAACTTTCTTTCAACATGACACACGCACAATTCCCTGTTACTAATCTTACATTACGAGAACATGTTGCTTATTATATAGACATTTTGATTTAAGTACCTTTAATACCTTCCAGTTCTCAGCATCAAATGTTTAAGAAACCCCGCATGTGAACGAGCATTATATGGTGAAAGACTTAATTGGGGATCTCTCCAGCAATCTTGAACAGCAGCAAGAACCTGTTTGCATTACAAAAAAAAAAAAGTTACTAATGATTCTGAAAGACAGCTCAAAGCAGATACAATTTTTGTAAAACTCCTTTCACCATACCATGTTTGCTGGCTCGCTTTGTAATAAGCACTTATCGACATTTAAAACCTTGTCGAAAAATCCAGGTGCGTGTAGCCCCAATGCAAAGTTCTTAGGACCATCTTCTCGCTCGTGCATCATTTCAACCGGAAGCCATCTTTGTGGACCAAATGAAAATTCCATCTATTCAAAATGCAAACAAAATAAGCAATCCAATCTCAAACCAATGCAACCACAAGCACCGATTAACAACAAAACAAATCAAACCTTGTTCCGATAATGGAATTGGATATCACAAGCAACAATAGGCTTCAAGACAGTCTCAAGATTTGGATTGTTATTAGAAAACTTTCCAACATGTGTGATAAGCTCATGAACCTGTTCTTCTTTAGCTCTAAGCTGAGCTTCATAAGAGAGATTCTGAGTTTTGCAACCACCACAGTAAGATGCATACTCACATGGAGCTTCTACTAAGTCTCGGTGCGGAGATATCGTCTCGAGTTTTGTCACCTAAGCAACAACAAGAAGAAGCAAATCAATCCAAAAATCGAAACTTTATAATAAATCCGTCGATTATGTTCATACTTTTGATCAATTAGGCAAAACCCAGAAGATTACAACATCGAAAGAAATCATAAATTGTAGAAATTTTTGAAACCTCGGCATAGCTGCCTTTCCGGCGAGTGACGCGGCCGAGAAATCTCTCGCCGGGAAGAGCTCGGTCGCACATGACGACGAAGCCAGTTCCATCAACTTTACAGATTCCTTTTCCCTTAAACCCTAAACTCTCGCACACGAGCTCCACGGTCTGACCTCGTTTCGGGTAATACGGTGCCGTTTTCTTCTCAGGACCGTCACTGGGCTTGTCGTTGTTCACCTTCTGGTTGTTGTTACCAGCGGCGAAGTCAGAAGAAGAGAGAGGAGCGAGAGAAGACGAAGAGGAGGAGCATCGAAACCTATGAAGCCATGAGCGCGTGGGAACCACGTACCTGAGACTGTGAGCAGGCGTGGTGGCTAACATTGGAGAAAAATGTGGTTTTTTCTTCACCGGAAATCGAATCGGAGCTTGAGAGAGAAATCTTAAAAGTGTTA